AATCCTACATCTTTATATTAGTTAGTGATATATTTTGATTCCCGCTACTCACATCCGTATTTGGGGCTCAGAAATATCATATTCATGAGTCATGGGCATTAGAGACATCAAGGCCTCCCTTCTGGTTGTGTTACACGGCTGCCCCAGTGCCCTGCCGTGCGTGTGGGTGCTGTGTGCTCCTGCAGAGCCAGCTCAGCCGCGGCAAACAGCAGCAGTTACGTTATGTACTTGCTGGGTTTGGCGTGTTAGGGCTAAAACAAAGATACAGTGTTGGGCAAAGACACAAAGATTGCTTTAAATGTGCATCATGGGGCATATCTGTGATGAAGGTGGCTGCTCTGCCTCCTCTCTGAGGGTGCAGTGTCCCTTCGCTGTTCGGCTCGCTTTGGCTCTTGCTAATAAACTAATTGATTCAGCTTGGCTATTTAGAGTTCTGAGTAATTTCAATATTGAACCTCAGCTGTAATTAATTCAGTCAATACAGTCAATACAAACCATGGGCAATGCAGGGATGCCAGTGCCACGCTGGGCAGCTCAAGTCCCCTGTGCCTGGGCTGAGCCCAGAGAGAGGGACACTGTGCACAGCTCCCAGGCAGGGAAAACACCCCAGGAGAACTTAGCTGGGACACCAGGGACTCATTTCTACTCAGAAAACATCCACAGGACCCCAAAGCAAGGATCACCTTCACCTGAGACACCCACGTGGCCCAGGTTGGACAATGAATGCCTGCTTCGTTTGAAGCAGTAATTTTACAGTTTGGAGGCAAAATAATTTTAAATGCAAGACCTTAACAGCCCTGAAATCAGGGCAAAAGGCAAGCACTCTCGTGGGGACCCCACCCAGCCGTACCCCGATTGCTGTGCTTTCCCCTGCCAGGCCGGGGGGGGCGTCCCGGGCTGCCTGCAGCCGGAGCATGAGGCCACCCCGGGCATCCAGGAAGGCAGGGCAGGAGCCGAACGAGTGCCTGTGATGTCTGGAATATAACTTCTGAGCCACGAGATGGGTTTTCTGGAGCCTTGTGAAATCCTGGGTGACGGGGGCTGAGGAATGACAACATCACGCCTTGTTTGGACCAGCCCAGCAAGGAAGCCGGGGAGGAGGAAGGACTTTTTTTGCCGGGAGACATAAAGGCGGCTAATAAATAATAGAGGGCAGTGTTATTACTTTTTTATCTTACAAAGTCAGACCAGCTTATGAAACCCAGACTGGAGCAGAATGCTAATCGGTGAGACGTGGCAAGATGAAGTTATTGCTCCTGACCCACACAAGAGTTAACTCGAGCCAAAAGGAGAGGAGCCTCCCTTCCCCGGCGTTCTCTGTGCGCAGAGCCTGGCTCTCTACAAATCACTGCTCCTACCCTGGAGCACGCCTGGCCTCCAGGCACAGCCTCCTCCCAGCTCCTTCCCCAGTTATTGCTCCTCTGATAAATACCGAGGACACGAGGCGAGCCTTGAGACGCGGGGGACTGCTGGCTGGGGCCGAGCGCGGCACACGTGCTGAACGAGATGTGGTGCTGGTCCCGCAGCGTGAAACAGGTCAGCAGCCAGGCACTGGGAACCCATCCATCCGTTTTTTAGCCACAATGCTTTATCTCTTTTCCCTCCACGGGAACGGATGGTTTCTGGAGGCCAAGAACGGTGCCCAGAGGATGCCTGCCCTGCCTGGGCTAACGCGTGGAGCCCTGCGCTTTCTGCACGCCTGTGCTGGGGTGCCAGCTCCAGGAGATTCCCAAAATCTCTGGCCAATGCAATGCACTCCAGCAATTAACTCTTCTTTAGTTTTCTTAGACACTGAGGAGCAAAACAGGTCAGCAGGGAAAGCGCAGCAGAGCAGCCGCGAGGAAAGGTAGTGCAGTTCAGCAGGAGGGGGCAGGCAAGGTTGGGAAGCAGAAAGAAAGCAGACAACAGGCTGTTTGGGATGAGATGTTTCAAAGGTTGATTTTCCAAACGTAAAATATCAGCTCACTTGCAAGAACCACCTGATTACTTTGTCAACCACGTGCAAAGTGTGCCAAGCTGTGGGTTACAGCCATTACTGTGCCCGGCACTGTAATGTCAGGGGCTCAGGGGTGTTTTGCTCAGGGTCTGGGTAGCAGAACAACAGCAAAGCACAGCAAATGAGCTTTGACTTCAACGTTGCTGCTGCACTTCAGCTCCCAGACTCCTGTACAGGGTGCGGCCTTCCAGCTCACATGCTTTTCATCACACAGGCTGATTTCAGATAATTCCCCAAGACTTGTTTTTGATAAACTGCTTTTTGAGCGTGCTATTTACAGATGGTGGAAGACGTTATATTAGGAATCTGCGGAGAGTGAAATATTCCGCTTATTTGCATAGGAGGCACATCTGATACTTGGCAGCATCACCTCCGCTGCTGTGCCGGCACTGGCTGCGGGGATGGCCCTTTCATGGCAGAACCAGCCATGCCCTACACGCTCAGGGATGTGGCACCAGCTATTTTCATGGCAGCATCTCCCCGCTGACGCACACAGGAACTGTGGGTGATGCTGGCAGAGGCGAGATCGTGCACGGATTTGCAATGTCACCACAGCTAGCCTGGGAGACTGGTACCCCCACCACAGCACCGGCCTCATGGTTCCCTCTTCGGCAGTCCTATCTTCACAAAAGTCCACTCCTGGCCCTGCGTGTGCCCCAGGGATGCCCCGGGCTCCCAGCACGGGTGCTCTCCGCTCCCTCCTTCAAGACACAGACTAATGCTGGCTGCAGGGAGACTTGTCTGTCTGCCCGGAGAAATTACAGGGTGAGTATCGAAGCACTGTCATCCTCTGAATGATTTTGCCTCCTTCCTTTGTAAGCACGGCACACACAAGTCGGCAGGACTATTTTTCTAATTATTAGATTTTACTGGAAATCGATAAGCAAATAAGATGATTTTTTTTGGTCCTAATACCTCCATAGCTCTTCTTGCAGGGCCCAGGTATTGTAAAACCCACCCTGAGACTCTTACAGCGTGGTGATAGATAGCCTATGCCTAACTCTGCTCAGGATGTTTGCTGGCAGGTGGGGTTGGATTAAGTCGCGAGTGTGAGATGGGGTTTATCACGATGTGAAGATGAAGCCCAAGGTAATTATCCATTAAGTTCTGCAGGAATTTGGGATATGGAATTCCCTACAAGCCCTGCTGCCTGCTCAGAAGGCCTCGCGTGCATCTCTTGCTCTGAGAGCCACCTGAATTGCCTCTTAATTTGAGCCCTGTCAACACAAGAGCTAAATGAAGAGCCATTTTCTATTTGAAGGAGTGCTGTAAGAGAGAGGCAGGCCCTTCTCAGCGTGCGGAGCCAGGCAGATCATTAGTGGGGTCAGTGTGCTCTGCAGCCAGCGCAGCTCTGCCAGCGAGCTGGTGCACCGGCGGGCTACGGCCCGGCACCACCGGCGTGGCCCAGCACCTCTCGGCACACACTGGTGCCGAGCTGGGGAGAGAAGATGAAGGGCAATTCCCACTCCTCTGGCAGGATTGTTTTTCTAAGTATTAGATCTCCTGGAGATCAATAAGTATATAGGATAATTCTTCATCTTACTGTAAAGAATAGCTGTTCTCCAAAAATTCTCAATATATCTTCAGAAAAAAAAAAAAAATAAAGCTAATGCTGCAAAGGAATCTGTCTCAAAAGTGTAGCTTATCTCTTTGCTGAAGCAGTAGAAGAAAACAGTGAAATAGTAGTAATTAGAAAAGGAAGCAAGTCATGAGCAGCACTCAGCACGGCAAAACCCACGCAAAGGCGCTCGCCCCACTGTTACGGTCCCCTGGGGCTTGCTCCCGCTCACCCCAGCTACCTGGGGAATGCCAAGTCCTTGGATTAGGAACATGGTTTACAAAGAGACCTTGTGAGGAAAAAAAAGAAAAAAAGAAAAGGCTGGGCTGATTTAAACAAACCTGGAGTGAATAAATTAGTGGGGGAGCGGAAATGAGTGGATGGAATTACACAGGAGCGTTACATAAAAGCAGCTGACGTCTGACTCCTGCAATTAATTCAGATTGGGCTGAGCCTGGGCTTTGGGGAAGAATAACTGGTGGGTGGTAGTGGAAGCCAAGAATAAGCAGTCGTGTACTGAGCTGGACGGTGGTGTTTAGCTGTGGTCCCTATTAGGGCTGGGCTTAATGAACAGTCTTGCTCAGGACATGTAAGAAAACATCAGCGAAACACCCCATTTTTAGGGGCAGCTGTGGGGGCTGGAGAAAGGCAGAGCAGAAACACAGAGAGGGAGGCATGCTTGCACCTCTCTGCTGGCTCACACCCAGCCTTTTCTCCATTTCCCCTAAATCTGGAGCAGGGACTGCCTGAGGGCGGCCTCAGGATTTGGCCAGCAGGGACAGAGGGACCTGGGGCTGGAAGGGGCCTCCTGGGTCACCAAGCCCCTGCCCTGCTCTTGCAGCCCTGGCATCGCACGGGCATCATCTGCGTCCGTGACTCAGCCCCTCCTGGCGGGAAACGGTCCAGCGAGCCATGGCTTTGCTGGCCAGGGCCGTGCTCCCGCCCGCCGGCGATGCGCACGGGGCACAGCGACACGAGAACAGGGAGGTGACCCTCAGCTGCAGGGCCCGTGACCTGGAAAAGGGGGACGGTGCAGTGATCGCCTGTGGGAGGCCACTACGCATTGCAGCTCGGAGCCAAGTGCAGTGATAAAGCCCAACTTGGGCAAAACACCAGCGAGCCCTCGTGCTCTGGGCACTAACACCCATGATGGCATTGCTACTCGTTATCTCTGAGGCTCCTCGAGGGCAGAGCAGCATCCTCCCACCGGCAAAAGCATCCTTTTGGATCCCAGGCAGACAAGGGGCTCGCGGTCTCTGACAGCCCCTCGGGGTTTGCCGTCGCACTGCTGGGCTCCCCCCCGGTGACTGCCTGTTCTTCTAAAGGCCCTTGATCCGCACGCACGAGGCAGCTCCCACCGATGTCAAACCTAATGCCGCTAATCCGATTAGTTTCTGTTCAACCTGCCTGCAGTGTCCTCTTTAATCCCAATCTCCAGCCCTTCAAAATGCTCTAACCTTCAGATGGCTTCTGCTCCACATAGCACACCCATGCACAAAAGCTGCCCATTCCTGTAAACTGGAGACAGAAACAGGCGCGAGATAATTATGACGACCAAGAAGCTTTGTGCAGAGACGGCTAAATCTGGGGCAAACCCAAAGCTTATAAACAAGAGTCCCATGGACGTAGCTAGCCTTTGGGCTGGAGCTTCAGCCCAGCTCTGAATTCAAGACAGCGCTCCTGTGATCTAACATGTCGAAGCAATCTTCTCCTGCAGTCTTCCTATTTGATAATCTGGGATCTGTGGGAGTCTCTACTTCATAATCCATATATCTTGTGACCCTCTGGAAGCCAGACAACTATTTCATGCTCGGATGGTTCCTTGCTCATCTTTGTCCGTGCAAGAAGAGCATGTCCTGACTGGCACAGGAGTAGCTCGTATTTCCATCACACCAAGACAGTGATTAAATGTCTTCAGCCCAGCACAAGGCAACTTCAACTGGGTTTCTTCTTTAGGGACTGGGAGGACTGGGAATGAGGCCAGAGAAAGCTGCAGGAGACTCCAGCCGCCAGAGGCTGGAAAACGATGCTTAGAGGTAGGTTTGGCACCTCCAGCAAATCTCACTCGAGTCTGTTGGGAAACTGAGCTTGTCCAAAAACCGGGACTGGCCCCGGCTCTGGTGGGCAGCCCCAGTGTCCCCGGGGTCCCCCGGGGTGGCCATGCCAGAGCACGGGGTCTCCAAGCCTCTCGCACCCCTCCTCAACCTGCGATGCCCCTAGGGAGGGGGGGAGGGAAACAGGATGGGGAAACTGAGGCACCGCTGGACCCACTTGCTCTCCTTGACCTGCTCTTGCTATGACTGCTTCCCATGGCTCAACCCCTGCTCGTGGGGCTGTAGCCTGGCAGGTCTCCGGTGGCCGCTCTGTCCGGCACCGCCCGGCCGGGTAGAGCAGCTCTCCCCAGCCTCGGCGCAGCGGCTTGGAGCGGTGCCCAGGCAGGATGGGCCAGGATCAAAGACGGGTTTTGCTCTGCGAGTACAAAGCTCCCAGCCGCAAATAAAACCCACTAATAGAAAAACGGTACAAAGGGAGCCGGGCTCTCGGGGCCAGCCTGGAAGTAAGAGCAGTAAATTGGAGGATAAAACGGTTGCCGTAGCTGCTGGTCAGCCCGTATTTCACCATTTCAAGCTGCAATAAAGAGGAAACTTTTTTTTCACGGTTTCATGCTATCATCGCTAAACCTTGCATATGTAAAGAGTGAGCGTCTTTTACGTCCTCATGGGCTTTTCAGTCAATTGAATGCTTTTAATACACTCCCTTCCCCGCTTTCCTTGCTCGCAATGCTAATGCACACGCTTCCCTGTGCTCGGGAGCCAGGCAGGCTGCCACCGAGATGTCTGCCTGGGCCACCAATGCCCATCAAATACAATGGAAATTAAGCATTTAAAGTGAAATTACGGCTCTGGGTCCCTTTTTACTTCGGATTTCCTAATGTTAACCTGGGTATTTCTCCTTCAGGGACTGTTGCCATCCCCAGGTGTCTGTATGAGATGCGTAGCCCGAGAGGTGAGACGGGTGTTTTCCCAGGACGCCGGCCACGGGGTGCAGAGAAACCTCAGCACATCATTTGGAAATAGCTGGGAACACATTGACTGTGCACAGCGCTCTACACTGCACTCAGCAGTGCAGGACTAGGAGATAAAAAAAATAGATCATATATCAATATTTTCACAATTTTCAACCAGTCCCTTGAATGCTGGGAACAGACTCAGGGTTTCTGAACCCTGTCCCTCTCCATGCCGCTCTTTATAAACATCAATAAGCCTCCCACTGCTCCCCAGACAGACATATTATCCCTTTTGTAGCTACTGCAGATTAAGACCCAGCGATAAGTGCTTTTCCAGGGGATGCAACAAGGATGGTTGGCATAGCTGCCGTAAGAGGTCAGGATTTTCTCTGTGCCTCCCAACTCCACCTTCCTCCAGCCCTGCTTCTGCTGCCAGACCTGGGGTCACCGCCAGCTTAGCTGGGGGAGTTAAACAAGGAAATGTGCTGCAGGAGGATCACAGCAACACCCCAGCAGGAAAAATTCATTTTCCCAGCAGCAGCATACAGTGGCAATAGTCCAAGCTTGGACTTGTAGTAGTAGAAATAAACACATCCCAAATTCTGCTGCCACAACCCCAAACTCCATGGCTGCCTGCAAGGGCTCTGGATGAACTTGAAAAGGCAAATGAAATCAAAGGAGGGGACCACCAGTAATATACTTGCACAGGAATTAAAGAAGTGACCTGGCTGCCAGCCATGCCATAATACAGAGGATCTTCTTGTTACCTGTTTTTTTTATTTTCCATGTCAAACCCCTGGCTAACAGCAGCAGGCCTGATTAGTTCCGAAATGTCAGTGGAAAGCCCCCACGAGCACGTAGCTGCTTGCTGGCCTCCAGCCCTCGCTTTTCTGCTGCGGGGCTCTAATGAGGACATCAGCGATGCTCTTTATTAAAACAAATGGTTGAAGGCAGTGTGCCGCTGCCCAGCCCGCGCTGCGCTTGCTGCCGAGCGGTGACCCCGAGTCCTGGCAGAGAGTAGGGCGGTGGGTGCCAGAAGGGGGGCTCTCCACCTGCAGCCGTCCTCACGAGGATGCGGGATGGCTCCACAGATCAAGCCCTCCATTCCTCCCCTTCCATCCAGCCTGCCAGCCCTGCTCTTAAAGTCTGTTGAGTTTGGTATTTCACCTAATTTCCTTGCTCCTATGAGGATAACATGGCGAAGGTTAGTTTGAGGTGCTCCCACACTCTTGGGTGTCTACAAGCAACTGGAATCTCTTCTTGTAGAGATATACGATGTTATCTTGGTGCAAGAGATGGAGATGAGACTCCATAGCACTTCTTGTTCCTCCTTTCTCCATCCACCTCCTCCATCCAGAACTTCCCACCTCCCTCCCAACCTCCATCCAGACCTTCCCAAGCTCCTTCCCCAGAGGTCAAAGTTTGTCTAAGAACTTTGGTGTTGACCATTGGCCTCGGAGGAGCTGTTTCCCTGGGAAAATGAAGCATCACATTGGCTTCATACATATGTCTGGTAGAACTATGAAATATTATAAAAGATTTAGATTTATCGGTTCGGACAGATTGGCCTCTTTCGGTGCGCCTATAAAAGCTCTGAATGATGCCATCCATCAACGGGTGGACAGCATTGGCTCTGACTGAGGACCAGGCAATTTTGTGCCACTGGGGCCAAGTGCCAATTCCTTAAGTAATCCCAGGTTTCATTAAAGAGGCAGCCGGAGGAAGGCATCTCTTTGAATTTTTTTTTTTTTTAAGTCAGCTGCAGGACACTTACAAATTACTGTGGAATTGATGGTGGGTGACTCGTTAAAATTAATTATGGCCATAATTAGGAATATTCAAGAAGAAAACCACAGGAAAAATGGTCCATGGAAGGATATTTTCTATAGTCATATTTTAAAATGAAGCAAAAAATTTGCAGCTGCTTTATTAATTTAAATAATAAGATATGGCTCTTTCTTGCATAGCTTCAGAGGGTTTCTAATGGAGGGGGGCTGCTAGATGAGGCATTTCAGAGGAAATCAAATAGCCTCATAAATAAATGAGTTTTCTTTTTTCAGGGCATAACTGTATTCATTCTTATAATATTCACAGAGCATCACATTACAGGGGAAAAGAGTCAGGAGGAGCCTCCAGGCTGCTTCTGCATCCTGAGGACAAACTTCTCCAAGCTGCTGGCTACTTAACACGAACCCATCCTGCCTGCACTTGCAGCAAGGCAGCTCCGTGCAAAACTACGCCTTGCTTTAGCCCTTCGGTCTGCACCTGCAGCCAGCGAGCAGGACAGGGAGACGAGGTCCTGCCTGGGGGCGTGTGGCTGCTCCGCACCCTCCCGCAGCATCCCCAGCCCGTTACCCTGAGCAGGGACCACCAGCAGTGCCATCTGCGCCTGCTCCAGCGAGTACTGGTGGCAAATCAATGCCACCGCGGGGTCACGAGAGCCACAGGAACCTTCAACGCAGGGGCAAGGTGAAAAGCAGACCCCAGGAATGAGCACCCCCGCCGGCAGGGTACTGGGGATTAGGAAAACCACATCATGACAGCATCCCGCTCGCCCCGGTGATGGGGTGGCCACCGTGGGTGGCAAATGTCACGGGGGCTGCGTAGGACCTTTCCAGACCCTCTTTGCTGGCTGCAGCCCCACCAGCCAAACCCCCCCAACTGTCACCACGCATCCCACTGCACGTCCCCCTGCTCTGCGGGCTCGTAGGTGGCTGCACAGCCCAGCCTTGGGTTCAGTGGCCGTGCTGATTGAGCATCCAGCTCTGGGTAACGCCGCAGCCGCCGGTGGCTTACTCAGCACGACTTAATCTGCTCTAACTTTGAAACGCTCCGGGGCGAGGAGGACACGGGCAGTCCATTTCCACAGGAACGTTGCCCTTTATGTCCAGACATCAGCTGGTATCGAAGGTATCATGGCAGAGCACGGGGGGGTCGGAGCTCGCGGTACAGACGGGGCAAAATGGGCGCGAACAGAGCCAGCCACACGATCACCAGATCCGCCTCAACCTTCCCAAAGCAGCGGTGAATCTCACACCCGCTAATGGCATCCGCGGCCGGGCAGGGGTCTGGATTCACCATTTGCTCAGTTATCTTCTGCGCCAAGATACAGAGATGATCTAACTGCTGAAACTCATTTATGGGTCCCCTGTACCAGCGTGGTGCCACAAACACCTACCTTGTGAGCATCTGTGTGGCAAAACCATCGCTACCAAGTGGCATCTCTTGTGGCTATTTGCTGATCACTCCATCCCTGCTAAATCTGGATCATGGAAACACAAGCAGGAAAAATAGGTCTTTGAAACAATTCGAAAGCACCAGAGCTGCAATAAATACAAAAGGCGGCTCAGACTCCTAAGGGATCTTCCGTTAATTGACTACTGTCTCAGCCCAAAGCACACAAAGACCATAAGACCCTTTCCAAAGGTTCAGCAGGTTTTGGACCCCAACACCAAGTAACCAGGTAACGGCTGAAGACCTTTTCTTCCTGGCAGACCGGGACGTTTATGCACATAACAGAGATAACCACCTCAGCACTACTGTCAGTTGGTTTTGGGGGGATGTACCCTGTTGATGAGCGCAAGACACGCTCTTGTGAACGGTGCGAATCCCTGCAAGGCTGCTCTGAGTTTCCTCCACTGGGTCACCAATCTCTGGTGAAAAAACAAACAAACAAACAATTTAAATCAGCACAGCAAATTAGAATGGAGGAAAACACGCGTGCGCCCCAGCGTTTGTAACCTTTCCAGATACTGCTCCAGCATCACGGAGTGCTCCTTGCCACTGGCCCCATGGGGACAGTGTGCAGGGCAGAGGCTTCTGCCTACCACTGATTGCAAACTCCAAACTGCTGGAAAATTTATACCAAGAAATCGCTCTCCAAAATTTCCTCAGGGACACGCGACTTTTTGGCAGAGAATTGAGTGTTGCAGCAGAGTGCCTGGGAGCCAAAATCCCTCGACTCGGGGATGCTGCTGGCCAGGTACGTGTGTGTCACGGGCCTTCCAGCCCAGGGACGAAGGTCTTGGGGATGCCCCATGCGAAGGAAAGGCTGGGCTGTGCTCCTGCACGTCCTGGCATGGCGGTGGTTTCTGGATCCAACTCCCACCACGCTGCTGCGCTGCACCGGGACGGGGCTCTGGCCCCTGAGCGCCCAAGGAGAATTAAGGACACAAAGATAGCAAACTACAGCTCCCAGGGGATCCATGCCAAAAGGTTAAAGGATTTTAGCTTTATCTGGATTTTTTACTGGTGGATTTTCAACGGAAAGAGCCTGCTTTTCTATTCTGCACGTTCCTCCACTCAACAGCCCAATTTCCTGCTGACAAAGAAATTCATTAGGAAACTTTCAAGCCGATCCCAACCATGGCAGCTAGTTGAAACTGCTCAAATCCTCTCCAGAAAACCTTCTTACAATACATCCAGCTCCCTTTGCATCCCCCTGGTAACTGATTTGAACTCGTAATGACCTATGAGCTGCCTGCCTGCTTAATCTGGCTCCAGCGCTCCCCATACCTGTCATGGCAGAAATATATTCTTGCAAATTTATTTCCGAGCAGTATTTCTGTACCAAAGTAGTCTCTCTCAGCCACCCTCTTTCATGCAATAATTGTAGGAGAATTTGCAAAGCTGAAAAAACCTTTCCCCATTGATTGCTCTTCCCATGCGAAGCGGGCAGGAGTAGGAAAGGAGGGATTCAAGCAGAGAGCATCCACTGCTACAGGGGGTCGGGTGACGTGCCGGTGTGCCGGACCCGGCAAGACACGGAGAAGCAGCAGGAGATCCAGCCCGGCTGTGAGGATGAGGAGACATAACCGGCCACGCTCAAGCCCAAAGGACTGTGCGGTGGCTCATTAGCCAAAGAAGAAAGGGCTAATTTTAGAACGGGTGGCAATTAAAAAGCATTGTATTATCCTTCCTGTGCTAAAACAGGCTGTCAAAATCTTTGGGTAAAACAGCAGTTAAATGAGGGGCTGACGGAGAGTTACAATAAAGAAAGACAATGGCATCATTATATTGGGATTTATCTTCCCAAGACAGGATTGTCCTCATTATTCAGGAGCGGCGTACGCAAAAGCCACTAATAAGGCTCCCTCCCAGGATGGAGATAAATCCCAAACCTTTCGGAGACTTTTGAATGTAAATGCTCTGCAGCATTCAAGGCGCCCTTTGATACCATCGCGTGCATTGCTCGCACCAGCACCGCCGCTCCTTAAGCGGGAGATTAAGCGGGCTTCGGGGACTTCACAGCCCAGGCCAGCTGGGACCGACACCTCGCTGGGACAAGGGGCCAGGCTCCTGCACCAGCTGGGTGTTCGGGTCAGCTCGGGAGGGAGCTGGGGAGTCCCACCCCCACGGGACTCGGGCACCCCAACCGCCGTGGCTGCGGCGAGGACCGAACGCCCGCGGGGAACCGGATCAGCTCCCCGTGACGCAGAGGCTCTTGATTTGGGGCAGATCAAGGGCATTTGGCAAACCGTCTTCTAAAAGGCAACAAGGAAGAAAACTGGAGGCATCCAAGCTGGGGGGAGGGAAGTTTGTAGACTGATGCCAACTGGGCAGTGTGCCCCTGTCCTCCCCAGTGAGCTGAGGGGGGAGGGAGGCAGTGGATGGCAGCTCAGCTCTTCAATGCTTTGTAGCATAATTAAATCTCATCGACCAAAAAAACTCCTTCCCATTCATCATGCAGAAAAATCTATGCTTCAAAAAGAAGTAGGATGCTGCTTTTTTTAATGTTATAAAATAACAGGGTAAGTATTATATTCAATCCATAGATGGGAGGTGCCGTGTTGTTTCAACTGCTATGTTCTCTGTTTTAGCCTGCACCAAAAAAAAAAAAAAAAAAAAAAAAAAAAATCCCGATAAAAGCCCTAGGTGTTGATATAGATTTGGAAAGTCAAAGCAGTTTTGCTGTCAGCAGTAGGGTGGAAAACACAAGTTCTGTTTTCCGCATTTAAAAGGGCTCTTGGGGTGCAAACAATGTGAGCCCAGCTCCTGCCTCGCCAGCGCTGCTGCTGCTGGCGTTCCCCCCACCCCAACACCAGCCTGCTTTTCTACACGTTCAGACAGGCAGGGATAGAACTCAGAAGCTTCTCCTAGCAGAAAGGATGTGCTCCCTACTTTCCACCCTTCTGGTGGAAATCCAGTTCCTTCAACGGCGCGGAAGGTGCCAAATCCCGCGGGCGAGACACAGCCCGTTTCACCCATGTAGGTCTGCTGCTCATCGGAGCTGCTGTTACAAGAAAGCTGGAGGAGGAGGGAAGCCCACAAGTGTCTTTTTTTTTAAGAAGTAGAGAAACCACAGAAGACTTTTTAATGTGAGGACCAAAGAAATCATAAGATGGGCACATCCTGCCACCGGGGAAATAAAGCCAGAGCCCACACGGGGTGGGAAACACCAGCAAATCTTTCTCATCTAGCCAGGGTCAGGGTAATTTTTAATAAGAAAAAAGACATTTGGGTTTCAAAATGACTGCTGTGACAGATCTGCAGGAGGCACACGGGGCGAGATGGGGGAGATGACTTAGAAGCTGATATTGATGAGATTGTTTTCACTGATGGAGCCTTTGCAGAGAGCAGTGCTCTCCGTGCAGCCCAATGCTGATGAAGGCATTTCTCTTGTGGCAGCTGGACTCGGGGCATTTTTCAGGTCTTTTAGAGTCCAGACTGAAGCAGATTTGATGATAAAACCCCTACCCAGTATCCCTGATTCTCTCCCCCTTGGCAAACAGCCACAGTAAACCGTGGCTGTGATGCTGCGAGCGCTGGATGCCGGGACCCTAAGTCAGCTCAGGGAGATCTCACAGCTCCTCCAGGCTCAGCGTTACCCCATGCCATATTCATCCAGTAACAAACCCCCGTGGTTAATTTATCTGATGCTGCCTTGGGATCTTCCCCAGAGCAGCACAGGAGCAGGCAGCAGCCAGACCCAGCCTCTGCATCCCTCTGCCCGGTCCCCTGAGCCACACAACACAGTGTTCTCTCCTCTAAACTGTTTATCTTAACAAAACCATTTAATAGCTGCTGGTTTCTATTTCACCATTCAGGAATAAAAACCTTTTAAATAAATATTTAATGACTCCTATTGGGTGCTGGGATGATGATGGGGCTGGTAGGCACATGGAGCCGTGCACCCGGAGATAAAACCTGCATCAAAATGAGGTCTCTTGTTTTATTGTTCCTGATGTTATAAAGATTGACTCTGCTATTAGGACTTCCTGGAGGATTTCTCCAGGATGAAGTCTCCAACTAGCAGAATTTAATCAGTTAGTGATGAAAAATAAATTTCAGGTGGTGGCAGCTTTTCAAAAGGTGCAACTTTCTTTCTGAAAACATGGTGTCTGCTTTGCTAATAAACTGTCCTGCAGACACAACCTGCCCAAGCCTATACCATGTGCAGTGGGCACGGTGACCCTCGTTACTGGCCCCGAGGGGCTGAGTGCTCTGATCCATCACTCCATTCCCTATGGACAAGCCAGAGCAGACCTCGGTGAAACAGTCCAGCCCAAGGACAGCAGAGCAAATTAACAAGGAACTAATTAACAGTAGTCTGGCATTACATGGGCTTTAGGTATAACATGCTTGGACAAGAGAAAAGCCTTATTTAAGGGTAAAACCAATGGGGCTGGTTTTTGTTGGGAATGGGTTTGCTCCATTCCAAGCTCTGGGATTTGGGGGGCACAGCCCCTCACCTCCCACTGCCACCAGAGAGAAGTTTCATGCTTGGTGCAATTCAAAAAGCACAACCCCAGAAAACAATATTAGAAAGGGACAGAGGATTGCTTAAACCACGTAGAGGAGCAGATTGAGGCTGGCGGAGCAAGCGGCCCCAGCCGCGCCAGATGCTCCCATGAGTTGGGAAACATTTTAGCTGCTGGCCTCAGAACACAGCAGCCTTGGGCTAACAGCCCTGGCAGCCTCCCGCGGGGAGCAGAGGCTCCATCTGCACCCTGGCCAGATCAAGGACCCTTTCAGCAGAAGACGAGCTGTGCAAGGGTGGGGGGTTCTGTCCTGGGTGGGGGGTTCTGTCCTAGCTGGGGGCCGAGATTCTCCCCTCCTCCTGTCTTTCTCCACTCCATCCCTGTCTTGGCAAAGTGAAGTTCAGCTATTACAGAGTGTCAGGAGATGAATTACATTAAATTATAATTACATTACCCTTGCCTGCTCTGGGCAAAATGCAAAAGGTCATCTTCCCTCCCCTTGCTGCATGATCTTTAATATGTTAGGCCACTTATAGACACTGCCATGACATTTACAATAGGTCCAGAGAGAGATGCTGCACAGACACTTGCACGTTTTCCCTCTTCCAAGGGGCTTGATATGGCTGGGGACAGCCAGAGCCGCACGGAGCTCCTCTGCTTTCGGAGCCGGGCTTTGCTGGAGGGCTGCGTGCTCAGCACCCCGCCGGCACGGCGAAGCCAGGTAGGTAAGCCATTTCCTAAACCAGAGGGGCTGCAGGGTTGTCTGGGGGCAGTCACCCCAGTACACGGCAGCTTTCGCATCTCTCAGCTTGGAAACTGCTATGACTTTAGGAGCAGCACTGCCTGGGTGGGTGTGAAGTGCTGCTGGCGAGGCCAGTCTGCAGCACAGGAGAGCCCAGAACTGTGCAGAACATGGGGTTGCATGGGGCTATGCACCCCAGAGACCTCTGCAGAGGCTTTCACACCTCCTTCACCCTCCCAAGATATATCCCTGAGGACGACTGCACTGTTGAAAGACTTTAAGTACCTTTCAAAGACACGTATGAGCTGACACTACGGTTGCTGACTTGTGTTTTGATATGAGATGCAGCACCGACCACCTAAGGCAGGTTTTGCAGTCGGTGCTGCCGCGTAGCCTCAAGCCAGCGTTGGAGGTTACTCCGGGCATGCCCACGAGACCTGAACTTGTAGTGACATGGACCAAGACAAGACCCCACCGCTGCAGGTTTGGGGGTGAAGGGCGTGGGGTCCCTCGGGGGGAGATGCAGCTCCTGGGCACGCAGCCCGCTCCTGCTCTCATAAGGTAAGAAGCCAATTTCCTGCTTTTCACGACAATTTTCTTCAACTCCAATGGCTACGAGCTGCTCTGCTGATTGTAAATAAATACAAGGGGAGCTTGGCCCAAAATAGAAAGCAGACAAACCTCCCTAGCTCAATAAACTATAATAAGCACTTGCAGGGAGAGAAACCGTAATTTGCAGGGCCAGCTCTCTCTGCGGGATGCAGGCTTGGCCGGGCTCTGGCTGGCTTCCCTTCATCGCGGTCCATTAAGGATGGGAAGAGGGGGGCCCGGCCCCAAAGCAGCTCTCCTGGGCTGTCCTTCTCCTCTCCCCACCGATGCTGTGGGCTGGAGGCTGGTCCCTGCCCGGGGCTAAGCCCTGCCAAGTCCCCAGGGTTCTCCTCTGCCACACATCACCCTGCCCAAAGCTGAAGGCACATGCGATTTACAGCTCCCCACACCAGAGACACTCACTCATAGTGCAGCCCTTGCAGAGGGGCTCAGCCATGGTTGGTTGTTCAGGCATCATAAAAACTAAACAAATGTAGGCGAAACGAGTGCCTGCAAGCGCATCCCTTCTCCTTCCCCCCATCCCGCCACGTCCTCTAAGGCCAGGGCTCCTCCTCCACCTCCTCCCCATACCAGGAGCACCCTTCACGCCGTGCCCTGTGGTGAGCAGGGTCCCCCCCCTCTGCCAGGACGTGTCTGTGAGTGGGTCACGGCCCCCCATGCCCTCCCGGACCACCCGGCAGCTCTGCCCAGGGATGCCGGCAGCGCGGAGAGCAGCGGGGGGGGGTGCAGCAGGATGCTGCCTGCACAGTTTGTTTACCCCATCAGCAATGCCACGCCAAGGGGTTTAGTGACACGGCTCCCAGCACGGCGAGCATCCCCACCGCAGCCCACACCCCGGGAGGGGCTCCGGCTTGCCGGGCGCTGGGTCCTCCCTCCCTCCGGTGCCTAAAGCAGCTCTTGGAGGTGTGTGGCTTTCCACGCACGGAGGCTCCCGCGGGAGGTTAAGAGTACAGGCAG